TGAGATTAGGGCATTATAAGATGGGATGAGGGTATATTGGGTATTATGAAAATAAGAAATTCCATTCCATTAAAATCCCATCTATTTGTCAAGGAATGTTAAAATCCTTTATCCATGGAATTCATAGGAATATGAAGATTCCTTCCGTTGAAAAGAATGAACCAAACGAAGGAAATGAATCTGGTCAAAGGAATTCAACATTCCAATTCCTTCAGATTCCTCCAGAATCTGCGAACCAAACGCCATCTAAGATTCAATTTTACATCTTCCTTTTAATCACTTACTTTTAAGTGACACATGTCCCTATACAAGTTTATTTTTCTATTTTCGTGTTTTAACTGAATTTAAGTCTGAAGTGGCCTCCAGACTTACAACATAACTCTGAGAAAATTCAGAGTTGTAAGTCCGAATTTAACTCTGGAGTGGTCATCAAAACCGGGTTTAAAATTTCGAATTCGGATTTTTGAAGCATTTTTCACAAAGCAATATTAACCGGAAAAAATTTAGAAGAACATGTACTCTTAGTACTTAATTAATTAATAATAATGTGAATTTAATTAATTTATATAATTATTAAAAGAATATTAACACCTTATTAATTAATAATAATACACCTTATTAATTAATAATAATACAAAGTTAATTAATTTAATGAATTGTAACGTTTTTAAATAAGACATTTTATAGTTTGGTTTTATAAACTTAAGTTCTATAAGGACGCTAAGAAATTTTATGACAATTTTCTTGTAATGAAATTAAATATTATAAAAACAGTCTACTAGGATGTTTATCGACATTTTTTGTAACCTGTAAACCCAACTTTGTTGTAGGATTGATACTAACCTTGTAATAACTTCAAGTTACATATCTAACAATTATCATTTTGTTTAAGTTTTGAGTTTCCAGTTAATACATTTGATGTTTATATGATATATACGATTTTTCACTTTGGCTGAAAATTCTATGCTTGAAACTTCAAAAATCTAGTTTTGTAAATAGCTTTTTGTTGTGTTTGAGAAAATTTTGAAACCCTTTTTACAAAGTCTAGTATTGTGATTATCAAGTGCAATATATATATATATATATATATATATATATATATATAGATAGATAGATAGATATAGATAGAGAGAGAATGTTTATTTTGCAAACCACGTTATTTGTACAAACCTCATTCAACCAATCATAATTTTTTATTTTCTTCATTTTTTTGTAATTATGAGAGGTTGATTAATCATTTTTATTGTAGAGGGTGTTAATCATGGATATTATCATTTTTATTATTTTAATTTTAGAGAAATATATGAAATAGTTTCATTAAAATTTCATTAAGTATTATACGAAACAATTTCATAATCATAATGAAACAACTTCATCAAAAAAAATATTATATGAAAAAATTTCATAAGATTAAACAATGAAATCGACGGACACGGTTTGTACAAATTGAGTGGTTTATATTTGATCGCTCATATATATATATATATATATATGTGTGTGTGTGTGTGTGTGGGGGGGGGGGGGGGAATCATCATTTGAGAAAATGTTAAATATTTGAGAAGGAAAGAAGTGATTCTAACACTTCATCTGGTCAACATTTATGGCTTTGACCGTAAAATAACGGATAATTCATTGAATGAGTATGCAAAAAATGGATGAGTGATTTCGTAACATTTACAAATAGGCGGCAAACTGATTCATAAGTGAGCCCATGTGATTCATATATAAACTATATGTTTATATGTGAACCCGTTAATTAATTCATATATGAATCACAAGGGTTCATATGTGAATCAGTTAATTAGTTCATATATGAGCAGTTTTTGCAGTGAATCCCCTGTTAGGTAGTCATGCACGATAGGAACTCCTAATTCCCTGGCAAATATAACCCTTTTCATCATTTCTTTGTATGTATTGATGGTAGCATTTAAATCATGCCCTTTGATTTCACCTTTTGGTGCTTGACCCCCCCCCCCCCCCCCCCCCTATTTTTTGCATAGTCGCAATTTTAGACCAGTCAAAGCCACAGTTATTGAACAGTTAAAACTGTAATTATTGACCAATCAAATCCGATCTTGACCGTATGAGGGGCTAAGATCACTTCTTTATTTCTCAAATATTTATTATTTCTCAAAATAACATTTGGCTATATATATAGAGAGAGGGGGGGGGGGGAATCTTTTGCAAACCTCCGAAGGTTGCCAACCATACAAACCCATCTAAACCGTCCGTTTTTTATTAACGATGGAGGAAATTTTGGATTTAAAATGATTAAAAAAAATATTACAGAAATGGTAGTCTTGAAAGAGATTTAAAATAAATAATTAAATTTATCTATTTTTAGTGGTTATCTTTTTCCATGTTTATCTCCTTATTCTTATGAGTAATTTAAATGATCCATCTCTCGTCCATTTCTTCTCCAGGTCTTAAGATCCATCTCTGTTCATCTTATATATCAAAATTTGTGAAGATTATATATATCACAAAGAAGATTTTATCTGGTTTTCGTTAAAAATGAAGGTTCCACACCCATCTGGGTAAACCCTCTCGTCGGAGAAGACCATCGTCGACCATTTGGAACTCCATATAGTCGACCATGAAACCATCGACTCATATCTAGATGAGAAAATGGGACGGTTCAGTGGTGAAAATTTTGCTATTTCTCTGGGATCTTGTTTGATTTTCACTACAACCCATGGACTCAGATCTAGACGAGAAGAAGGGATGGTTCAGGGACAAAAACCTTCGCTATCGATATCTCTTTTGGATATGGTTCTATTTTCACCTACAACCCAAATTATCAATGACGGAGATACCATTGGTTTGTACTTCTGCTTCATCTACTATGCGAGACTAACCAACCTTAATGCATACCTCCGATTTAACGGGACAAACTGGAACCACAACATAGTTTAAAATTTTGAATTAGGTTATAATTTGTCGTTATCTATTATGAATTCTTTGAATGATTATAAATTGTTCTTGTATTACTTGAACTAGAAAATGTCAAAACATCCCTTTGCATTCCTAATTACTCTCTTACTTCTTCTTACCATCTCAGGTATTCCATCTTTTACTTCTAATTTCTTAATCTTTTTTTTTTCAATTACAATAATTTCACATCTTTAAGTTGTATAAACGATTAATCATAATTACATATATATATATATAGGCGGTCAAGAGGAAGGCGAACAACCGACTCCACCAGAAGGAGGGAAACCTAATCCTCCGGAATGTAAGATTCCACCTAAAGATAAGTTGGCAGCCGAAGAGCTCAGACGTGACATAAACAACAACTTTGACGGTGAACAAATCAAAACTTTTGTTACTTATTAATAGATGTGACAAACAAACATTTTTCCTAGGTTTACATATCAATGAATCACTAGCTTTTTATTTGACATGATCAACAGAACCGATTAGCATTGCGAAAATATGTGAAGAACCTAGCAAGACGTGGTTCGGAAAGTGCTTGGACACATTAAAGTGCGACAAACAGTGTATAGAATGGGAAGGCGCAAGGCATGGAGCTTGTCATGAACGTGAATCAAAATACATGTGTTTTTGTTACGTCAGTTGTGACGCTAGTGACAAGAGGCCACCGGTCCCTCCAGATTGCCCCCCTGTCGGCCCAAAAAAATATGTTGATGGGCGTCTAAGCTCATGAAAATTGAATCCACATCGTTTCATATATATATATATATATATATATATATATATATATATATATATACACGTGTATATGGCAAGCAATTAAGAATAAAGAGAAGATGCACTCTAATTATGCATATTGGGACTTCTATATAAGGTGTAATGTTGGTTGTATGTATAACTAATTAAAGTGTTCCAATGGTATAATAAAATTTCTATTTTTAATACATTCGAGTGATAAAATGCAGTGGTTGAAATTTATATGATTCATCATTTGTTATTAGTTTATGTGTGATATTAGTTTTTAGAAAAATAATGTGAAACATAAGTACATAACCGTCGGTATTGTGCACTATAACAAAATTGGATGTTAAATATCTGAAGCCTTGTTTGTTTTTAATTAAAAAGTTCTTATCAGCCTATTATATTATATCTGATCCATTAAGAGGTAGGTAATTCAAACTGTTTGTTTTTTTCAATTTTTCAGCAACACTTATGTCTTATTGCACTACTAGAAAACTCGGTATTTCCGGCTGACAAAATCCGCCAAAAATATACCGGTGGACGGCAAAAAAGTCAATTTTTTTTTACTTCCGCCGGAAAACTGTTGTTAATCCACTGATAAAAACATTTCGACAATATTTCTGGGGGATCTTACAAATTATTTTTTTTCCAAAATTATTAACTCTAATTACAATAAATTAGCGACGAATTTTTAATTATTTTTTAAGATTAACGTCAGCCGAAAATCTATCGGAAAAATAATTAAAATTTATTTTTTAAAATTTCTGGCAGATTTTCGGCGGATACCGGAGGTCGCCGGTAATCCG